TTTCTGTTGGAAGTTGAGATTACTACTGTTCAAAAATGAATGCGGGGAATGATGGTATTATGCAAGTAATGATGCCAGTAATTGTACACTGTTTTATAAACACAAAATTTACATCAACCCTTAGTTACCATTTTTTAACGAAGTCTGGTACATGTTCATACAGTGTTTATTAGTCTCTGCTTTATTGCTAATTACATGCACGTGATTCTCATGACTTACCTACTTAATTCGAACGTTCTTCAAAGCAGTTTGTAAAGACCGAATCAGTTTTAGTAAAGTTTTATGAAATTGAATTATTTTCATATTGATAGTATAATTTTATTAGTTACAGAGAATCCTTGCCGTTTAAGAGGCGAACGATAAACACTCGAACTGTATGTAAGCGATATTGTTGGAGTGAAAAGTTGCGCCTGATTTCTTCAGTATTACATAGTGGCTTTGTTACTTATCTTGTAAACGGTTAATCAGGTGTGGCAGCATTTCTGTCTTAGTTAAAAATTTTTGTCATCAAATCAATGTTATGGGCAGAAATTTACTATTTAATTTCCTTTGTATTTGCATCATAACAGAATGCGTCGCAATTGGGCTTGTCCCAGGAATTTACTGTGGCGAACAAAACTGTTACGACGGTATACTTTTCAACATTACTATTTTTTAACTTATAGACAAGATTAGAAGGCTGCATGTAGAGTTTATCATCATTTTCGATTTTATTACTATTGTTTTCGTTAATATTACTATTATTATAATTACTTTTTTGTTAAACCACTGATCTTATTTTACAGTGCTTGGCATTAATCGCGATGAATTTCAAAAGGTTGGCAATTATTCGTTATTTTTTTTCACATATTGAGAAGTATTTTAAGAAAGAAAATTTTGAAAAACAGTAGTATCATTTCATCTTTGGAACGAGTCATTATGTAGATTTTAGAGCGAATTGGCAAAAATCTATAGGAGGTTAGCCAGGAAATTCCACCCGGATAAAGTCAAGGGCTCGGTAAGATTTTGTTCAAATTAATAAGCATAAATCATTTTTAGAAAAATCCTGTCCCAAACTTGCAGGTTTGTTCCGGCACAGTTACGAGACTTAAGATTTATAACACTACATTTTTTTCTATTTCTTAAAATTACTTTATTTAACGGTCCTTCTAGCGTCTAAAAGCAGAAGCGGTTGAGAAATTTCGTCAGATTGCTACTGCTTATGAAACTCTGAAAGACGATGGTGTCCGCGAAGACTATAACTACTATTTAGACCATCCAGAATATAGTGCCTATAACTACTATAAATATTACAGGAGGCGGGTAGCACCGAAAGTAGACGTCAGGATAGTAATTATTGTCACAATCACACTGATATCTGCATTTCAGGTTAAACCTTTTTCTCCCATGGCAAATCGGTTTAATTTTAAAAATTTAGTCCCACATCAGCTTAATTCGAAGGTTTTCAGTATCTCAGTGCAAAACATAAATATGGCGAAGCGCTGAGTTATGCTATCAAGCAAGAGAAGTATAGAAATGGTGCCAAAGAAATTGCTCGTGAGCGTGGGCTACTCCCCAATGAAAGGAGTCGAAGAGACAAAAAAGCAGTTAAAGAGGAAACTGAAGAAATAATACGGCAAATCATTGAGGAGAACATGGATATTAGGTTAGGAGTTGAGTTTTCAGGGAATACGATTTCTTTTTTGCTTCTGTTAACTGCAAGTGCTGATGGCGAAACAGAAGAAAAAAAAAGAAAACTAAACTAGACTGTACGTGCAACCTTCTTTTTATGACAACTGTATATAATGCTTCAGAGGTGGGTACAAGAAACCATCGATATACGATACGTTACTCTGGTGTATAATATCGCTGCCGTACACTGCCTACGTGTAAATTACTTTTTTTATATCCCGGTTTCAGTTTTTGAGACTAGAGGCCTACTTAATGCCCGCTTTTACGGAGTTTAAGCTCCAGTTTCACAAACAAGCTTTTAGTAACTTACTTTCACTGTATATTGTCCACTGTAGTTTATAAGTGGGTTACATGTCTCTTTAGTTACTTCATCTGGAAAGCAAAGTGGATTTTGAAGTACTGGGTGCAGAAGGAAGAGTACGACGAGGAAGCAAAATTATACTTAATACGAAAAAACATGGGTTTATCATCATCCCGGTTCTCAGTAAGTGCTTTTAATTTTTGAGCATGCTTCACTTCTGTCTGCTGCTCTGAAATATCATATTCCAGTGCTTAAGTGACGAGTATGAAAACTTTCTGGCAGAAGAACTGTGGAAAAAAGACGTATATGAAATATGGAAGAAAGCTAGGGAAGATGAAGAGAAGGAACGTCTGGCGACTTCAGGGCGATATAAACGGTACCGACGGTTTATGAGGAACCAAGCCGGTAACACAATTTCATTTTTAGAAGACTAGCTTGGACAAGCAAACTCCTGCAGCTGCATATTCGCCGAACTCAGTTGACACTGAGGTTTGGGCCCCGAAACAAGAAATTCGCTGAGTTTCTGTGGAGGGAATTGTCACACCTCTGCCAGAAGTACTTTTCTGTATTATACGGTCCATCATATTACTTGCTGCATAATGTTTCTTATCCACTGTATCTGTAGAAAACGGTGCTTTCATTGGGTGTTCTTTAGGCATTTACGGTATACTCACTTAATATCATGTGTTAAAATATGGTGGTTTGAGCCATTAAACAAAAGACCGGAAAGACAGAAACTTTTTTAAGACGAACCACTGTGATACAGTGAAACCAAAAGTAACTTCGGAATTCTTACAAGAGTTGAATGTTACGAACTGGAAGAGCAGTTAATAATATTTGCAAATTGCCAGAAATCAACCCAGTAATAGAATATTACTTTATGATAGTTAACGGACCGAAGTGGATCTATTAAGCACAGACAACTGTAATATAAATTAGTGAGAGATCAAACCTAGGGCAGAAAGAAAGAACGACGCATAAAAAACAACAATACCCATCATCAGTTTTAAACACTTACTTTTATTCGAAAGATCAACGCCAACCATACATGAATAATAGCAGTATTTGAGAACAAAAAACCAGACTACACTGCCCCGAAAAACTATCCCAAATTGAAATAGCGATCAATTCGCTTCCGATCACTCCATTCACATCGCAAGTACTTCATTCCTTACGTCAGGATTGCCAACGCAGTTAACATAGAGTGCACATCAACGACGTGTAGCTGAAACCACTTCGCAGTTGAAAAAGTATCCCCCCTAACTGACTGTTGTTCCAAAAAAATGAAGAGATTAATGAAAAAAAAAGAACGGAGCGAACAATCACTTACTAAAACACGAAACACTAACTTACCTGCAACATTCGCCCGAAATAATAAGAAATATTTGGCCCCGAAATCATTAAAAAACTAAGTTTCAGGAAAATCACCGGTAAAATTTTCAAGCTTTGAACATCTGCATATTCAAGCAGAAGTAGAAAAACCTTGCAACTTCAACAAGAATGCCCAAATCTGTTTAAATGACAGTGGTTGCAAAAAAGATTTTGAAACAGTGCTACTGCACCAGAAAATAAATACTGTAAGGGTCACTGACTTAATCGAAAACAGAAGTGTCCATTATTAGCATTCAGAAAACTTGTTTCCTGGGAAGTTGCAGCCCCAGGCCAAATGGGTAAAAAACGAAATACAGATGACTGGCCATTACTCAAACTTTTAAGTGCAAATTGCATATGACCAAAAATAAACTTCTAATAAAACCATGCAGAGTTCGACATTAACGAATGTGGGGTGAACAACACAACATTGCATTTTTACTTCCTTAACAAGATGTCTGTAGGAAGAGGGGCGTCATTAAAACGGACCATTGAAAATACGCGACTGTACACCTTCAGCCTATCAAAATATGCTGCAAAGCCTCAAATAATATTCAGTCTAGCTTAGAATGGTTACCAGCTAGAAGAACAAAGACATGTAGCTCGACGTCCAAATATTCTCTTGGTTAAACAGTGGCCATGAACGGAAAGATGTTTCACCTTTCAGCTCGTTCCTCCCCCCACGAGCTAGATTTAAAATGCGAAAATTATGCGAACAAACCTGCATTCTCACTAACCTTTAAATTGCGCGTTTGCATTGCAGGCTTACATTGCCTTCACATATCATCGTAGATTGCCGAACGCACTCTCTTTCTAAACCTCATTATGCTCCAGAAAAAAAAAATTAAATTTATTTTCTCTACTCTAGTCCTTTTCTGAAATGTACTGGGATTGTTTGTACGTAACTACTCAAATTATAACGATGGTGAGTTCCAAAGGATGAACAAGCTGACCTGCATAGCTGCATCTGCGGAAGAAGAATGCTAAAGTTCAAAAACAACGACCCGAACTAAAAGAAGACGCAAAACTAACACCTACCACATGATCGGTCCAGAAAGTTGAGCAACGGATTTCATAAAAAGCCTTTCATTCTCGCCAATCGCTCTTCCTAAAATTTAAAAAATAATAAATACAGAAGGATGGTTTGATCCAGAACGAACAGGGAGGCCAAATCAACAAGCTTGTCCTTACCAGTGAAACGTTTTCGTCAGGATGCATAATGTGTGTTTTTGAACCTAATTTTTGAATTTGTACTGTCTCTTTTGAATGTTCCTGTTCCGTTGCTGCAACATTAGCCGAGTCACTGTAAGCAGGAAAAGCAGCAGGAACAGTGGATGCGGCCCCTGGTGGGGGGACTGGGACCGAAGGGGGT